TGACAACTCTTTTAAGAACTCTTTTTGCTGCCTTGAGCAAACTAGTTACAGTGAGAGCTCTCTAGAGCGAACAGCAGGCTGTACTGGGTACAGTGAGAGCTCTTTTGAGTAAACTGTACTGGGGAAGGTACAGTGAGAACTCGCTAGAGCGAACAACAGACTCATTTTGGTACAGTGAGAGCTCTTTTTAATGAACAAAAAGCTGTACTAGGTACAGTAAAAGCTGCCTTGAGCGAACTAGATACAGTGAGAGCTCTCTAGAGCGAACAACAGGCTGTACTGGGTACAGTGAGAGCTCTTTTGAGTAAACAACAGGCTGTAGTAGGTGAAGAGGAAGCTCTCTAGAGATAACAACAGACTGAACTAGATCCAGTGAGGACTCCATTGAGCGAACGTGGCGCAAGCTTAAAATTTTGGTAAAATTGCAAAAACAACGTAAAGGGAATGGTTATCAAGAGAGCAAATAAGGTTGATCGTAATTTCATCTAAGACGGTGAGGATTTTCTTTCTATTACAATTATAAACATATTCCCATTTAAGTTTATGATAAATAGAAATGAACGTCTAAAAATTGCTGAGTTGTTTTAAAAGGATCTACTAATATTAAGGATTTAGGTACAATAAACCAAAGGGATCCATTGCAAAGCAGAAAGTTCAATCAAAAAAGGGAATAGTGTCGAAAAAGTAAGCAAAAATATGAGAACAAAACAATTTGCCTACGAGGATTCAAATTAGTCGAATTCTGTGGGCTTCTGTATTATCATAATCATGTACTCGACTTCTCTCTCTCTGTCGGAGAAGCTGTCCGTTTGTAGAGCATTCACTGTAGCTTGGCAGCTTGCCAAGTGCTCCTGCTGCCCCCTCACTGTGGAGTATGTCTCCCTGATGCTGATGACATTCTTGTTGTTTGTTAATGGAAATCTTGTCTAGCTGCAGGGGCGTGCTCTTCGCCCCGCTCCCAAGCCGCACCCCCCTCTATTTGTGAGTGCATTATCCATAAAGTATACACGACAGTTGTTCGTGATTAATGCTTAATCAGGAAAACACAAGGTAAGCAAGGGCGTGTGCGTTGTGCAAGAACTCACTTCAACTTCGGCTGAGTTTGCGTTTCTCGAACACATAAACTAGGTGTGTTATGGGCAAATAAGCGAGTATATATGTGTTTTAACTTGTCATATCAGCGGAAGGTGTTTGGGGCCACGTGCTAATGAGTTATTGTTGCTATTTGCCTGTTGCAGTTGCAATTAGTTGCAGTGCATTGCACCTTATCGCGTCCAATGTCAGTTGGGAAAACAATTTGGGAAAGTAAAAAAAAAAGCGGGAAGACAGCAAAGTCAGTTACTAAAATAAATTAAATATTTAAAAGATTCCTTTTTTGAAAATCGGAATAAATTGTTTTGAGAAATAGATAGAATAATAAATATCCGAAATTAGAATAAATTGCAGGAAGTCAGCAAAATTGCAGGAAAACCAAATCAAATTGTTTTTGGAAATAAATAAATAATAATTTTTGTTTAACAAAATAGGGCTTCTTAAAGGGCAAACTTTGAGCACTTCTATTAACAAGCATTGTGGCAAATTTGGCGTAAAGTTTTAATGAACATATTGAAAAAACAAGCTAAAAAAAAAAAAAACAATTGGCAAGTTTAAAAGGCATGAGTAACCGCTTAAACATATGTTAACAGGCAGCTTTTTGTATATATATATAGTATAATTTATATTATATTATAAAATAATAATAATAAACAATAAATTGTATACATAAACAGCATTCAATGAGAAGCGGCCAATATACATATATTTAAATATATTTCTGCCTCTAAATGTATTCATATTCAGGTGTATTGCATGAGCGAATGTTAAAAAACAGGTTTTGCTGCTCATTGAAAACATTTTAAAATGCTGACGTCACATACACTTAAACATCTCTCCATCTCAATATACGCTCTCCACCTCTCTCTCCCTCTCCCTCTCCCTCTCCCTCTCGCTCTATCTCTATATACAAATGCGTATCTGCCTGACAACATTTTGAATATTATGCGGGAAAGCACAAATCTTCAAATTGTTTAGATCAGCGAATGTAAACACACGAATATATACAGCAGCAAGTGCTAAGGTGCACACACACATACACTTATATACATCTATATGTATGCACATTTGTATGTGTATATGTCGGCATTTCTCATATTTAAACAGTTGCGAATGTGCTAAAACTTCAACGGGCGACTGCAAAGCGAAGCAAATTGCCAGTAAATGGAAAATATGAGAATAAATCTCACACATACCCCAGACTACGTACAGACATTGCCCGTATAATTTAAACTAAGCGTTGTAGTTGCAGTCTAACAAAAGGCAGCTGTTAATAATTCTAAGAGAAAAGCCCACCCCCTGCCAAACCCACCCAGTGCTCTGTGCATGCACAGACTTGCATGCATACACATGTACATATGTACATGTGTGCACACACATGCATGCGTATGTATGTGCGTATTTAATATTTGCAGGCTTGATTAAAATGAGCCGACAAATAGCAAAGGCAAAAAGAGTGCCCGGCCACTATATACCCTGTATGAAGTTTTGAGCTACTGTAACGAACATTCTAACTTCCGCCCTATGTAAATATACTTATACGTACTGTTTATTTTAATCCAGACGGACGGACATGACTAGATCGGCTCGGCTGTCGATGCTGATCATGAATCTACATATACTCTATGAGGTAGGGAAGTGTCTACTTCTGCCTGTTACATAACACATGCACAAACCAATATAACCTTCTTTTGGAGCCATTTTCATCAGGATATATTAAAAATGCTGCTTTCCACATGGCAGATGCTGCTGCTCTGCTTGGCAGTCAGTCAGCCAGATAGTCAGCCAGACAGTCAGTCAGCCAGTTGTCAATTGAGTTTATAAACAGTTTTTTTTTCTCACATAAAGAGCTGCCGCTGTTGCTAATGCGACACAGATGATGCTTTTATATGCGGGCTGGGTGGGGAAGGGGACGAAGACTCAAAGAGAAGGAAAGTCACAATTTTAACAGCGTTTTGCCAAAACGAGATATTTGCATCTTTAAGCTGCTTTCTACGCTGTCGCATTGAGTGGGCGAGAAGAGAAAAGAACAGGGCGAAAGAAACAGTAAAAAAAAGCGTAAAAGCGAAAGACGAAACTCAAGCCCATAAACAGGTTTTAAACTGTCTTTGTACAGCGCACGACGCTCAAAATAAGAACGTTAATTGACACGCACACAAACACAGACGAGCCATAAACAAAAACAGACGCACACACACACACTTATTGAGTGACAATGTACTCGAAAGCGCAAAGCTAACTGGAACTTTCGTAAAGCAACAACAACAGCAGCAGGCACAAAGCACTATTACGAAAACAAAGCAACGCATTTTGCGCTGCTTGCTATTTTTGGCCAACTAAAAGTAGGAAATTCCATTTGTTTGCACTCGGTATTACCTTTAATTTTCCAGTTAATGAATTCTCGAATTGTTCTCACTTAAAATAACTTGGAGGAATGCACTCAATTTACACTCGAACTGCTGCGTTTGATTTCTATTGCTTCGCAACTATTTTATTTTTTTTTAAGCACTTTGCACTCAAACTCGTTTTGGCACCAAATTTTTTGTGGAATTCACACATATACACTAAACAACACTTTAAAAACTTAAATAACCGTAACGCGTAACGAATTAAAAGTCAATTAATTATGCTGCAATTGCTGGTACGCAGCAATATTTATATTTTGTCGCCAGACTACACAAAACACGCCGTACCGCTCCCCAAACCTCTTTGAGCACAACTGTTGGTTAACAGCGTGATAATAAGGTGAGGGAGGGTTAGCATACTATTTGAGCAATAACAGCCACTTAACAGTTCAATTGAGCATAGCAGAAAAATACTAAAAACTGTGCTGTTGGCAAAACTATCGACAATTTAAAAACTATGTTTGCAAGTTTACAGTTAGCAACTAGAATAGTGTCTGTGTTTCAGAAAAGTAGGGTAGATAGTGAAGTGATTGGACTACATTCTGTTTTTGTTAAATTGAAAATATATAATTTTGAATAGTACAAAGTATGTTTAGTAAGCAGTATGTTTACAAATAGAAACACCGCCTGTTAACAGAATGCTCCTCCCTTTAACAGAAGCAACTTAACATAACTGCTACGACTTACTGGAAAATTCACAATTTTCTCGATATATGTGATCAGGTCTTATAACAAAACCGAAACATTGCACAATTGGCGATGCTCAATCACAGATTTCAGTTGGTTACAATTAACAGCATACATATTTTGTCTGTGTGTATATTTTGCTATTGTCAATATCAAATTAATTGTGAATACCCTAAAAGTTATATTGCTTTTAACGAAAGTATGTATATAAAAAAACATCGCCAGCTAACAGAATGCTCCTCACTTTAACGAAGTATGCGAGCTTAAGTGAACAACTCCTCTTTTAAACGAAACTCCACCAAAAACTCACCTTAACATAAACAGTGCTGCCACTGTGAGAAATATAACAGGCATTGTTGCAAAAGCTAAATGCTATACGACTGGCAACGCCAAGACTTACCACAAAGTGCGGGCGGATTAAATTTGAAAACTCAAACCAGATTTCAATATTAAATTAATTACTTACGACGATTTTATGATATATATGTTTGGTATCGGAGTCGACGATTAGATTATTAGATTGTCCTCATTTTGTTACATTTTTACACTTTATTGAATGTTTATTTGTATAATTACTGTTTTATTATTGCTTTGCACATTGTTATCAAGCATTTCAGTTAGAATTTAAGCAAACAACAAAAAAAAAACTGTCTCTCAAATATGGCAGCATTCCAATACTCTTTCTGTATCTTTTCCGTATACATATATGTATGCATGTATGTATGTATATGCACACAAACACATGTATATATCTCTCTCACTTTATGATTAAGAACATACAAACTAGCAAGCAGCTTGCAGCAGGTACGTTGAGGCCTTGTTAATAAACCGTTTAAGACTATTATCTAGTTATTTAAGTTATAGACATGCGCCAGTTTATCTTCTTTTTTGTTTTTTGTTTTTTTTTTTGTTTTAATGTTGTGCGTTGTGCGAGGGCGCTGGCTAATAAGTATTTGTGCCAAGTGCCATCTCTAGCACCATATCGATTAGTTATCGATCGATAAGGCGGTGCCTGGCAAATTTAACAGCCGGTTGCAAAACACAGCTCTATCCTATTCTCAACTACTTATCGGTCGGCCCTCGCTTCAGTAATTAGTTGTATGTGTTTGCCATAGATATTCCAAGATATTCTCCCCCTTCTCCCCTCGCCTCATCAGTAGCGCTGACTCTCGCGATCCGAATATTTGCCGCTCAGCTTGCTGACCGAATAGCGATCCGAGTAGGCATCATATTTGTCCGCCTTGTAGTTGATCTCCTGCGGCGTATAACCAATATTCTTTTGCCAGTGTCGCGTCCAATATAGATCCTCGTTGCGCACCTGCGATGGGGTCTTTGCGTCCCGGCACACGTACACGCAGTAGATCATGCAGCCGATCAGCGTGAGAAATCCAAAGATGAGGAATATGATGCCCAATATCCTGCAAGATATGCAAACATATCAATTGAGGCACAAATGTGGAATATATCAATCGCTTACCAGACGTAGACGGGCTCATAGAACTGCACCACAATGACAAAGCCGAGGGTGACCAGTATGAGCCCGAGATTGAGCAGCAGCATCAGACAGCAGACGCCCTTCACATTCGGGCAGAACGGATTTGGCGCCGACATCGTCTCGATCTTGGCGCCACGTTTCGTTGTCGAGCGGCCGCTCCGGCCCGTCTTCGCCGTGCTGGCCACCGAGTAGACGCTGCGCGGTGCTCCGCGCGACACCGGACGCTGGCTGTAGCGGCTGCAAGGATTCGACTCCAATCATTAGAAGCTTCACTAGTTCCACTGGCCAAGTCGGGAGTACCTGACTATAAACTTAACTCAGCTCAGCTCAGCTCCAAGCTGCTTTAACATTTATCCCTAATATCAGAGCTGCAAATCCTGAAACTATCTTCCTGCTTTTTGGTTCGGTTCGTGTAACTGGATTTCCACAGCCAAGAATTCAGGTTTTGGTTCGAGATTTGTCATCTTTTAAAATTATATTTGCACTTTCTCCATCAAAGGATTTATTACTCTCTGCCTTATCTCTATCTTCATCTAACTATTCGAAGCTCTACAAGTTCCGGTGCTTAATTCCACCCGCATGCGTGGAAAAATGGCGAAAAACGTTTGTATGCAACTTTTTTGTTTACCATCCGATCGGCCTCAAACTCATTTTCAAAGATCCTTGTTCAAATTCGTTTGTGGCGTGTTTCTCACTTTTTTTGAAAATCCATTCCTTCTTATTTTCAAAGCTCTGCATAAGAACCTAATGAAAACGTGTTTCGATTTGGGCAATTCCACCCGCAACAGTGGTAAATTGGCGGATGACGGTTGTATGAAAGTTTTTTGTTTACCCTCCGATCGGTTTCAAACTCATTTTAAAGGATCAGTGGGAGAATTTATGTTATAAGTGCCAGAGGCAAGGGCGGAATATATCCGCTAGTTTGGCATATTTAAAATTCGATTCAATTCAATTGACTGGAATTTCGTTTGGGCTCGTTTTTACTACTTTCTTTTCCTTGCAATCTTGTCTTTAACTTATGCAAGCTTATGCTTCATCTTTCTTCTGCTCCAATTTGTTACGAATAACATTCTCGAAAAACTCCTGTACTTAATGTCCAATCTTGATATTATTTTCAGGGCCAAGATATTACGTCAAAATGTGTTTATTTACCAAGAATCAAGACAAAAATAGCTCAGCGGAACGGAGGCTAAACAGAATCAGATTTTGTGTCTAAAGCTCGTATCAGCTCCGAGATAAACGAAAAGAAACCTAGACTAAACATCGATACTTATCGATTTTGGGTAACAGGAGTGAACGGGAGATAGACAGACGGACAGAACCAAGTCGACTCCAGCTGTTGCTGCTAATCACGAATTTATACGTACTTTATGGGATTTGGGACTCACCTGATCTCGGAGGGCGCCTTGTAGGCGGCACTGGTCACATAGATATCGCTGCCCGCATCGCCCGCCTGATCGTAGCTCAGGGCGGAGGGGGCGCGCGGCGGTTGGCGCGTGGGCGGCGGCCCGCTCAGCGATCGTGGACCGCCGTTGTCCGGCGTGCTGGAGAGGCCCATCTGACTGTGGCTGTAGCCGTGCTGCAGGTGTTGCTGTCCGTTCGTGGCGCGCGACTTGCGCGACGAATTGTAATGGCCCTGCGACTGCGACTGGGAATGCGACTGCGGCGAGATGCGCTCGTGGGCGAGCGTGTACTCCGAGTGCGCCCGATGCGAGTGCGAGTCGTCGCCGTCCGTCGAATAGCCGCGATTCGAGTGCACATACGGCGGATCCGGCGTCAGCCTCCCGTGTGTGGCCACATAATGGCCGCCCTTCAGTCTGTCGAGTTTAACAAATTATTAAAATTTTGGAGGGAAATTGTTAGTAATCATGTTTCTCTCGGGCCCTATGCTATTCTCTTCCAAACTCTCTCTCTCTCCCCGACTCTATCAACTGCCTTAAAATAGATATCTTTAACTACACCTTCCTCTCTTTTGATATTTATTTATTAGCTCTCTCTCTCTCTCTCTCTCTTGCTCTCCCTCGCTCTCCCTCTCTCTCTCTCGCTCTCTCTCTATCGTTCGCTCTCTCTCTCTCTCTATCCCTCCCTCCCTCTCTCTCTCTCTCTATCCCTCCCTCCCTCCCTCTCTCTCTCTCTCTCTCTCTCTCTCTCTCTCTCTCTCTCTCTCTTTCGCTTTTCTCTCTCTCTGCCTAAATTCTCGTCTTCGCCTGCCATTTTTCTCTCTTTCGCTTTTTATTATACGTGCTCAGTCTCAGTATCATCTGCCTTCTCTTATTTTCGCTCTCTTAATCCGTGTGTCTTTCTCTTTCACTGTCTCTCTCTTTCTCCATGCCTTCGTAGTTTTCACTCTCCCTATCTATCTATTTTTCGTACTAGTTGTCTCATTTACACCCACATACAATCCCTATTTTACTCTCTCTCTCTCTCTCTCTCTCTCTCTTTCTCTCTTTACTCTCTTTTCCTTTCTATGCGATTCTTTCTCTTTACGAATATGATAGTTCTATTCGCCTCTCTCTTTTTTCTTGCCTGCTCATCTTTTTTTTTTTCTCACAGGCTGTCTCGCCTACACCGCCAACTATGTTATACTCTCTCTTGCTCTCTCTTCCTATCCCTTTCTCACTTATTGAAAGCTCATCGAAATCTGTTACTTTTATTCTACCATGCATATCGTATAGGGTATTTAATCTTCGACATGTCGAACGAATTAATAGTTATTTCTTTGTTGTTCTTACTTCTTGACGCGTCTCTCGTGCATTTTGCTAGAACTGCGCCCTGCTCTGCCTGGCGCTTTGTCTGCTGCTTGGCTCTGTCTCCGTCTCCGTCTCCAACTTCGTCTCCGACTTCGTCTCTGACTTTGGCTCTGCCTGCTCCGGCTGCTGCGGCTGCTGCTGTTCTGTGGGTCTGCTCAGTTTTGGGTATCTCTGTGGACCGTTGTTGTCTCTAGAAAGTCCCACGATAGCTGCGACTGCCTGCAAAACAATAAAAAAAAACAGACAAACAAAAAAAACACGTTGAGATTTGTTGCAATTAACTGGCGTTTGGCTGGGTGCAAATTAGTAGCCAGTTTTCAACTTTTAATTAGTGTGCAAAAGTTATGACTGCGTTTTATGCTCCCATGTGTGTGTGTTTGTGTGTGTGTGTGTGCGAGTGTGTGTGTGTGTGTGTTGCCAAACTACATTTAACAAGCGTTAGCTGGAATTCTGAATTCAATTTGAGCAGCTGAGCGAAGCAAAAGATAACAAAATTCGAGGTTATGTTTCACAATCAGCTGTGCGGGCTAAAGTTTGCCAAATTTGAGGTTATGTTTAACAAACAGCTGTGCGAATTTGAGGTTATGTTTCACATTTTAGCTTTAAGATTCCTTATTTGATCATTTTTTAAATAAAAATAACTCAAAGAGCAACAAGAGCATAAAAGGAGGAGTGGACGATTAGGGAATACCCAGAACCTTCTTCTATTAGAACCAGAAGAAGCTCGAGCCTTAGCAAAGATATTTACTTAATATTTTATACTCTACGAAAAGCTACATGTTAAATTTGGAGTCTGGATCATAAAAAAGGCGGCTATCGATATCGATTTTTATCGATTGCTTGAAAACGAGGCAGTTATCGATGATCGCAAATAAACTCTTACTGCGAGGGTTATAGGCGGATCTAGGCACAATGTTTTAAGTCCCAAGTTCATATAAATATAATAATTTTATTTTATTGTGACACTTATGTGAACTTCTAAAGTTCTCTAGAAATGTTTTCAGAGCTGTTCCGTTCAGTTAATGGGCGTGTTTATCTGCAGTCAGCACAAAAGAACTGTAAACATATAAATATGAGGATAAGCGATCGGCTGGCAAAAGGCACTTCAGTCGACCAATAACTTGGCCACTTGACAAAGCCGAACACGCCCCGACTTAAATGTCAGCTTTAATTTTTTATTATTTTGATTACTTTTTTGTGTACCCTGTGAACATTGCGAATTGAGTGTATTATGGTTGGTAGCAGGCAGAAGGCGACTACTTCAAACTTAGAGTAAACACAAATATTATTTTCTGGCTGTCCATAGAGATAACTCTTAGAGACCATAAAGGCTATAGACTTCAAATTGGGAATATAAGATCTCGATTTTTTGCCCAAGTCGATAGTTAACGATTTTGAGCCTGGGTTTTATGTGTGCATCTCGAAGATTCTAGGGGATACACACATAAAATGTTGCTTCTTATGGTATACACATTCCTAGAAAATTTTACTACTACGTTTACTCCACGTAAAATACAAGAAATAAAAATGTTAGAAATTGCAGAATTGTGCTTGCGGATATACACATAATAAGATTTTATAGGAATTTCCTGAAAATTACATAAAGATCAGACTTCGAGTGCTCGAGTTATTTGGGAATGATTTTTCTAATTTTCGAATTTTGTTGGCAGCTCGAAGTAAGCTACAGGGTATTTTCTAGTCGTCCAACTCTGGCCTAGACATTTTGTGTTGAAATTGGCTTTAAATGCGTTGTTTGGAGCGCTGCATAATTTATTTCAGCTGCGTTTACCCTGACTCGATTGAAGCTGAAGCTGCACCCAACCAATGTGCACAATCCCATTGGGCTTGCAGTTCGTTGCACTGTGCCGAGGCACATCCGGACGCTGGCAGATTGGCACGCATGCCGCACCCCACTTGAATATCTTTCAAGTTCATGGCATCGAAATTGAAGCCGCTGTCGTTACAGTTGCCAGCAATTTGTCACTTGGTCACGTAGCTTTAGCTTTAGCTTTACATTTACCTTTCCGCCTGAACGGCACTCGAGCCAAGACAGCAGGAACACAGGACGACCCCAGGACAAAAACTACAAAATATCAAATACCAAATACCCGACCCCACGCTCAATTTCAGTTTCAGCTCTAGCTGCAACTAACTCAGTTACATGCTAATACCCTAACTCTGAGTATAAATGATATCCAAATAACTTATCTGACTTCCTATTATATATTAATGCTAGGAGAAAGAGTGTGTCCAGGTCTGAATTGCTTTCACATGCAATAAATTCACACATAAATATTACATATATGCAAATGTGTATTAGTTTGAAATAGAAAGACTTCTCTAAAAGAATAAGAAACTTGGGGTGCTGGTTAAAATAACAGCAGGTGAAATAAAGAGGAATATAAGGGAGGGACAGAGATGTGCAGAGCGAGAAAAAGGAGCGCAAGAACATATACATGCATGCACATACATATTTACATACATCTGCATACATATACACATATGTACATACATACACACAAAACAACATACATACGCGCATACATACATAGATATATACATGCTTATGCTATATGAATTTGAAACCAATCGGTCGGTTAACAAAAAACTTTCATACAACCGTTTTTCGCTAATTTTCCACTATTGCGGGCGAAATTTCCCAAATCGCTTAAAAACATATTCATTAAGTTCTTACGTAGAGCTTTCAAAAAAAGTTTGAAACAAATCGGACAAAACGTAAAATCGGGAGAGATTTGACCGAGTTATGAGGGTGGGAAATTTCGACCTATGTCTATATAGGATATTTGAGGGTACCATTTTTACATGAATTTGGACCAAGAATCATGTTGTCAGATTTAAATGCCAAATTGATCTGGAGGCTAAATAATGACAAAAGAGCCAAACCTCGTGGAAATCGGATGAGAATTGACCGAGTTATGGGGGTGGGGAATTTCGACCCATGTCTACTATGCACATGCGAGTGGAATTTCCCGAAATCCTGTCAGATAACTCAACTACAGTGAAACTTTCAGCTTTCTAGCCCTAACGGTTTGGGCTGTGCGTTCATCACCATATATACATACATATGTATGCCCGTTTGTACATACATGTCTGCATGTTTGTTTTGTATACATGCAAGCATGCACGCATGCGTACATGCGTAAATGCGTACATGCGTACATGTACATGTCCGAATACCTACATGTCAGCACACATGCACACACCTATAATATGCCTAATTCCAGTTGGAATTGGGCTTTTTGTTTTTGTACTGAATATATTTAACGCCTTTACTGCTGATAAGAAATTGAGTTATTGTTGCGATTAGTCCAATTAAAGGCTGTCGTTGCTGCAGCCGAAGTTGGAGATGTTGTTGGGGCAGGTCTGGATGTCCAGCCTCTTGTAGAGGGTATTATAAAATTGTCAAGAATTGTGTAACGCATCGAAAAAGCGTCTCGAGTTCCACAAAGTACTATATATATTCTTGATCAGCAGCAAAAGCGGACTCAAGCAATAAAAGCTATTGTTGGAAGACTACGAAAACTTTCTATTGCAGACTGAACACAAGTCGAAGTTGGCCGGATATATATAATGATATAGCTGTCATAGTACAGATCAGTCGAAAATAAATTTCTTGTGTGAAAAAATTGTTTTTTCTAAGATATCTTAAGTCAACTTGACATAAGAGAGGCTTGCCAAATCATCTCAAATCGGACAATTACATAGATCTATAAATCTATATTATTAATCAATATAATAATTAATTTTTTTTTATAGAAAACTTTTCTGTTTTTTAAGGAAATCTTGACCCAACTCAACAATTATAAACTCTATTGTTCTTACATATCTTAAATCGTTATATTCTGAAATTCCTATAGAAGATAATGCCTTGCATAAAACTATTTCTAAGGGTATTTAGTCTTCGGTGTGTCGTAATAGAAGTTAAAACTTGCTTTTTTTTGTGTGCTGCAATGCACTTTTAATTTTCTTCCTTTTTTTTTTTGCCTGGCGGTGAATCGCGATACAATTGTGATTTGGGGTTTGGGTCTGGGCCAAGCAAAAGTTTCAAGTTCGTTGCGGAGATTTTAGCGCCTAGGGAGAGCACACACACACACCCTGCCACACACACACTGCCACACACACACGCACACACTAGAGCTGGGACATTTATGGTGTGGGCGTCGCCTTCATTGTCAAATGAAAAATCGAACTGCGGCCCTTGAGCAGACGTGTGTGGTCCATGCTCATTATCATGAACATCATCATCATGTTTGGGAACTAAAACTAGCTGATGGCGTCTCCTTCTCCGTCTGAGTCTGGATCGGAGTCGGAGCCTGTCTCTGGGTCGGTGCGCGTCCATTTCTATCACTTGGCGGGCATCAAAAGCCTTTTTGCAACTCCCATGCGTGGCATTTGAACATTTCTTGATTTGTTTATGCGGTTTGTTGCGGCTCTGTTCTCTTCTCTTCTCATTTTTTTCTTTGCGTTCGGTTTGTTTTCTTAGGTTTGCATTCACGTCTGGCCTGGGGCAGTGCTCATTGCGCCCGCTTTGCGTCGGCCAATGTAAATACAAATGGAATGCCATTAAAATGTGTTTGCTTTCTCATATTTACCTTGGCGCGCATAAAGCCCGGGCATGTGTTATAACCTTTAACGCTGCATAAACAGCATAAATAAGCCGTAAAGAGTACGCAAGGAGGTTTCTTACTAGGAGCTCCAACATATATTTGTGCATTTGCACCTGGCCGGGACACGGGCACAGTTTGGCTTATGGCTCGTAAAATACCTGGGCTTTTGCCCGGTTACAACATGATTTATCCATTTGGCGCTTCTTTGACGGATTTCACAACTTTCGCTCTCGAAAACGGCACTTGGTCTTCCGGCCGTGAGTGCGCCGTGTGGGCCAACAATGGGTTAAAGCCACACAAAAACCAAAAACAAAAAAACAGAAAACTGAAACAACGGAAGTCGTTACGAAAAGCCAAACGAATCGAGACGAAACTAGTTGGAAACGGATTGTTAATTTGCTGCCATTTGCATTGTGCGGCAGGTGAGAAAAAGCCAAACCGCGTCAAGAATGCAGTCCACACTTTTTGGCCATTTCATTCAGTTCAGTTTTTGTGGTCAAGTGAAGAGACAAAAAGAAACACAAACACAACAAAAAATGCCGCGGCGCCACAGTTTAGAAAGTCATGCCCAGCTTCACACCCCTGCAGCAC